GCAAAAAACGTACCTATAGGCATACAGAGAGAAGTAAGACTAATCTACTGTTTGGGTCTCTAAAGCACAAATCTTTGGTTAATTTCAGTTGCTGATATTGCTGCTGTTTGTTTCATTTTAGACATACTCCCAGCAAACAAAAAAGAAGCATCAGGGTTAGATTACAGGAGATAATTTACACACAGTTTCCTCTCAAAATTGATTCAAAATGTCTCAGATATGAGGCAGGTCATGTGAACTAAGATCTCCCTAAACAGAGTATAAATAAATATGAATCTGAAATATGAAAAGAGGGGGACATCTCCAGGCATCTTTCTCAGCATCCTCCCTCGGTGATATGTAAGACAGTCATTGACACAATAATGATGGTCATGTACAGTATTAAAGGGGAAGTTTTCTCAAGTGCTACCAAGGGCCAAGAAATATTACAAGGGAAGTAATATAAGCGTGGTTAAAGTAGAAAGAAAATGGAACACAAGCAGATTTAGGACCTCACCTGAAGTCTCTTGAATTCAGTGTAGAAAGCCCTTGACTCAGTGATGCTTTAGATATTTCTTAAGTGAGAAGTATTCAAACTAGCATTTTCTCTGCAGGAAACAAAGCTGCAGATGCTCCTCTAAGCCCAGAAATAAATCAGAAAAACAACAATAATGAAAATTAAGTAGAAGTGAAAGGAGGGAGCTAGCTAGGTATGACTATGTCATGCAGTTTGGCAGCTATGCCAGCTAATATATTTTGGGCTGCAAACACATATGCATACATGACGTGGTGCTGTGCCAAGTGATCCAGGCTAGCTCTAAAAGAGGTAGTTGTGTAACCAAAACCTCTATGGCCATGTTTGCTTGGCACCCCATTTGATCTCAGAGGAGTAGAATGTTTTACCTCAGTAGCAGGCAGCATCAGAGCAGCTTGCGAGCGTGGCCAGCAGAACTGCGTGCTGGCAAAACCCAGACTGACTGATTTTCAGCTACCATGCAGGTCTCCATGAGCTTTCCCAGCTGCTGAACGAAAGGCTGTGGGAAAAAAACACCAACACCCAGGAATCATCTGTACAGACTGTCATGGGTGGTTGCACTCACTTGAAGAGCTGAAGTGTTCTTGATAGCTGTTAGAAGATCTGCTAGATGCTGTCTGCTGGCCACAGTGGTGTTCTCAAGGAGGTGAACTCTCTTCTTTGGAATATAAAAAGGCTGTGCTTGATCCCAAAGCAGAGATTGTGGATGAACAGGCTAAATTTACCTCTGTTTGAACTCTGAATTTATATGAGAAGTTCACCATTTGAGTGTCATTCTATTCTGCACAGATTTCTTTTTTTCTCCCCCTCTTTCTGCCAGTTGAAAGAAATGGATTAACTGGAATTCAGTTGACCTTCTGTTGTTTAAGACTGAGTCTTACTTGTTATGTTCATACAAGGTGGCACAGAACTAAGCAGACATCTAACCTAGACAGGCAGGCTTTTATGTTATGTAAAGCATAAGCAGATTTCAAAGTAAAGCCACTATTAACCTCTGCCTAATTTTTTCTAAAAGGATTTTTTAAAGAATTTGGAAGTGGTGCAAAGCAAAAACTGTATTTCACAGTAAGGCCTGTTAATCAAATGCCAGTGAGATAATACATGACTCAAGCATACTGATATGCTTTCCTTCATCTGTCTTTCCATTTACAGAATCACAAAATCACAAAATGGGTAAGGTTGGAAGGCACTACCATGGTTCAAATCTCCCTGTTCAAGCAGGGTCATCCTAAAGCACACTGCACAGAATTCTTGAGTATCTCCAGTGAGAGAGACTCCATAATCTCTTTGGGCAATCTATTCCAGTGCATGGTCACCCACACAGTAGAAGTTCTTCCTTACGCTGAGGTGAAACTTCCTGTGTTCCTGTTTCTGCTCATTGCCTCTTGTCCTATTGCTTGGCACCTCTGAGAAGAGCCTGGATCCATCCTCTTGACACCTTCCCTTCAGACAGTTATACACACTGATGAGGTCCCCTCTCAGTTGCCTCTTCTCAAAGCTGAACAGGCCCAGCTTCCTCAGCCTTTCCTTGTAACAGAGATGCTCCAGATTCCTAATCATCTTTGTTGCCTTCCACTGGACCCACTCCAGGAGCTCCATGTCTCTCTTGTACTGAGGAGCCCAGCTGCTGGACACAGCACTCCAGCTGTGGTGTCACCAACGCTGAGTAGAGGGGCAGGATCACCTCCTTCAACCTGCTGGCCATGCTCTTCCTAATGCACCCCAGGACCCCATGGGCTTTATTGGCCACAAAGGCACACTGCTGGCTCATAGACAGCTTGCTGTCCACCAGGACTCCCAGGTCCTTCTCCAAAGAGCTACCTTCCAGCAGGTTGGCCCCCAGCCTGTACTGGTGCCTGGGGTGCAGGACCCTGCATTTCCCTTTGTTGAATTTCAGATAGTTTTTCTCTGCTCACCTATCCAACCTGTCAAGGTCCTTCTGGAGAGCTGAACAGCACTCTGGGATATTGGCCACTCTGTTTAGGTTGAATGTCTCATCATCAGGTGGCCTCTCTTGCTCTATATGCTGCACACCTTGATCCTCAGCACATCTATATATTCATGCAATAGCAATAATCATAACTATTCTGAGATAGCAGAGGGTGCTACTCCAGGGGAGATTAGCTCAAGGTGTAAGTCTTAAGAATTTACTACTTAGTTTGGGAAACAACAGTTGAATATAAAGAAGCAATTGTACTGCTGCTTTCTTCTCTCTTAATCATGTGCTAGAAGCTTCTTATTAAGGATATTCAAGAGACCTGTGTGACAAATTACTGCCTCAATGCTTTTCCTTATGGGCACTGCCACAACTGTGCTGTCACAAATCCAGTCAGCAACATTTCAGCATTCTGCCAGCAGCAGACCAGAGAATGAACTAGGACACACAGTTTACTTTTTAGCAGTTTAGTCCCCAAAGAGTGACAGTGCCCAAATTCCTCTCAATTCATGCTCAGTAGGAGGAGTCAGGTAGTAGAAGAACCATTCCAGCTTTTCTCTTCCTTTTTCATCACCTGCCACTTTGAGGAGGGCTGACTGTGGATCTCAGACACTGAAAACCAGAAGACCTATAAGATAATAGAGCACTTCTCTCCTTTTGTAGAAACAGGATTATTTCCTCTAGGTTACTGTATTTTAAGCATATATAATGAAGCCAATACCATCATACTATCTGATGCTCAACAGTTGGGTGCTCTACTTCATCAAGTGCTTTTCCCTGTGTAGTGAATAAATCTTGATTTTTTTTGAGACCACTTTGAATCTTTCCTCAAATTTCTGTATTAGTAAAAGCTGATCAAAACTTCCATAATGTGGAGAAGTTCAATGATGATGGAGTCCTAAGACCCTACACTAGGAATTTTAACATTTCTAACACCCCTCTGGTTCAGATGCAGCTAGAGGTAGTCACATTCGAACAGCCACCCCTTAAAATCTAACCAAGCTTAAAATAGACAGGCTGTGCAGCTTCAATGTGAATATTTGTTTCTCTATTTTCTCTTAAGTCCTGCAATCTAATTCCTCCACCCAACTATGTAGGGTGCTTATCTCACATCTGCATAAGATACTGACCAACCTCAGGCAGTATCAACTTCAAAAATAGACTTTCCATCCTCTCTGGAAGATGTCAAAACATTCAAGTTTGCTTTAAAATTAAAAATACAAAAAATGGTAAAATAAAATACTGAAATTGTTTTTCAAAGTGCTTTGTACCAACTTAGATTGTATGCAACATCTAATATTATAATTGGAATGAGATGCTTTTGGCTTGTCAAATTTAAAAAAGGTTCAAAAGCTTTCCTTGAAATTTTAAACAGAATGTGTCTGTGTATGTGAAATACTTCTATTTTACTTAACCAGCAATTTCTAACACCAAACCTGTTTGCTTGAAAATTTTCAGCTGTTTTGCTTTAGTACTTTTTCTCCTGTCCTCTGAACAGCTGATTGTTTTCACAATTTTCAGTTAATAAGCAGCACATAATTAAACATAAACAAGTTAACCACTGCAGCATGACTTGATGGGAGAGGAGTTACCTCACTGGTACCACACAGCATATTGAGGGCTCTGAATTAGATAAGAATAGTGTGGTTTAGCTTCTCCACCCAGAGTTTCAGTGATTCTGGTGCAAAAGTTCACACTAAAAATCACATTGACAAAAGAGCATGTTCAAATTTAAAGGGAAGTTTTATATTTAACCAGCTATGCTTTTTGTCTTTGTAGCCCTGGTACATTTTACATGACAAATCATTCAGCCTTCTGATGCCCACAGAAGAAAACAGCCTTTTGACACCCATCTGTCCAAGAGGCTGGGCTGAGAACAGAGGTTCAAGCTGCATTCTTCACAGTTCATGGTGAAACTGTGACACTATATCACACAAGGCCTATTTAAGGACTTAATAAACTGTACAGGTCTGTTTTATGCCCTTTGATGTTCCTTAAGGTTTAAGTACTGAAATTTAAAATTACACATATTTTCAATACATATTTATCTGTCCACCTGATTAAATTTTAAGGGAACAATCATTAAATGAGTATCTATGTTACAATAATTTCAGTGATTGTGTGTAGGTCAATTTTGAGTGCTTTTTTTTTAATATAGTTTTGTAAAAGCAATTTCTATAGCTATGCATATTGAAACAAGCTTCTAAAAGGAATTTTGCAGGAATATTAAGCTTTGAAAGTATATATAGCCTAGAGAGAAGAGTGTTCCCCATCCAGTACCTAGCGGACATTTCCTGTATCAGAGCAGGGCATAACTCTCTGAACATGGAGCTGCAATAATGCAATGCTAGAGTTAATGTGACAAGCTGCAGACATCACTAAAGCAAAATACTTTAATAACTCATTTCCCTGTCTCTCCTTCTACTGCTTATCCTACAAGACAGTTCTCTGCCCAAAATGGGTCTTCACCTAGTATGGGCTTAATCTGAGTAATAGGGAAAGAAAAGCACCAGAACAAGATATAAGAGATCTTTGGAAGTTGCAGCTCACCTCTATGATTCCTTGTGTTTTCCATCCTTGAATGGCTCTGAACAACCATGCTGTGAGCAGCCTTTGTCCTTTACAGATGGGACTGGTCTGGCCTCAGAAGCAACCCACTTTGTGAATAGCTCTGCTATGTGAGTCCTGATTTCAACCTGTCTTTTACAGCATATAGGCAAACAAAGGAAGAGAAAAAAGGCAAAAAAGAAACCCAACTATCTAATATTGTCTCAGTTGAAAAAATGTGAGTGACTGCAAGAGCTAGGTACTTTTACAGCCAGTCACATTCCCAGTATCCCTATGCACAGTCTGTGTAATTCGTAGTATGTTTTATCCATCCTTCAGTAAATCCATCTGTACGCATGCTATAGTTACCACAGGAAAGTTAAAAATACATCTAGGTGTAGCAATACATAAGGCAGATCCTCACCAGTAAAACTAGGAAATGAGTAATCCCCCACTCTCCTGAACAATTCTTCACAATGACAACTCCCTCCTTCCCACACACCTACACTCTCACACGCCTGGAGAAGCCGGGGGCGGGGGAAAGCTGAGCTTTGCAATGTTGTCTGGAAGCTCATCGGATCCAGGCTACTTCCAAATAAAGGAGGGAGCAAGTTCAAAGCCTCTGCTGATCTCTGCTATGAACTGGCATTATGCTCAGAGATGACTGTGCTTGCTGCCGAGACACGACTCTGCTGAGCCAGAGAAGAAGGTGTACGAGCATGCCCCCCTTCAGGAAATAAAAACAAGATGGGAGGGAACCCCCAAACCTACTCAAGTGGCTTGCAGTACTGGAACACTAACTTGAACTGACAGGAGACAATGGCAACCAAGCCCAAGCGAACTGCAGTGGCTTCCAAGCACTGGCAGAAGATGCTGAGGGGGAGCAAAGACTAAAGGAGGAGATGCACAGAGGGGAGGTAATCCTGGCACTGCTGTTGACATCATCATGCTTTGTGGATCTGAAAGGTGCCAAGCAGAAGCTGCTTTGCAGCATTGGCTTTTTCCCCCTCCCTAAATGCATGCACTTTTTTAAAAGTCTCTGGTATTCAGATCCTAGATATTGTACTGGGAAATTAAGAAAGAGCCTTCCAGGAGAAGATTAAGATATTTCAGCAACTATCAGGAAAATAGAGTTGAGGATAAGCTGTATAGTTTGCCATATCATTTCTCTTCTACAAACTGTTAGAGGATTCTGAATTGAGACAAAAACTGCCCAGTTTCTGCCACCAGCTTGGGCCTGGATTCTTTGCAGCATCCATCGAATGTAGAGAATCAGTTCACTGACTAGAAATGGATCTACAAACACAGACCTTGCATTTGCTGTGACAACTACAGTGACAACAGTTGAGGCAGGTCCCCTCTGTAAGCTTTATCTGGTCCTTGAACATCATTACAGCAGGGAAGAGGAATGAGGAGAAAACAGGTACTTGCATGCTTGAGATCCAAAACAACTTTAAGCAGAGATAGGTTCCTACTGCCCTCTGCTGTAACATGCTTATAGAACTCCTGAGAAGGAAGCACCAAGCACGACAGCTTGACGTGCACACTGGGCGTTACATTCAGACTGTATTAAAACTGCGGTGAGTGGAACAAGACAGCTAGAAACCATAGGCTTTGCTGCTTTTAATTTTTTAAGTGGATACACACTGCCCATACACACACAGAAAATGGACCACAGGCTGATCACTTCTTGGTATATTTTTATGAGGCTCTGCATTCTGGATTATTATATATTATATTATTATTATATATATTTGCAGTTCCAATGGATAGCCTTCCCTGTACAATTTTTGTGGGTTTTTTTTCCTTCTACTTTAGAACTTCCCAGATGTTGACCTGGACTGTACTAAATTACTGGTAAGTCTCCCTAACAAAATGCTCCAGTGAAGCTGCCTGGAGCCTCTTTTGCACGTACAATCACTACAGCACCAGAAACACACCAAATTTTTCTAGCAGCAAAAGGGTTTGCTTTGACTGTACAAGCTAAGTGGTTTATATACATTTAAAAAGGAAAAAACAAAAATAGTCTTAATTCATTATCTCAATGTAAGACAGCAATATCACTTAGGTAACAGATAACAAAGAATGCTGGTCACAATGCAATACTGATGTCTCTTTGCAAGTTGATCTATATACACAGAATTGCTTTCAGGTCTTTTTCCAGTAGTTCTTGATGTTCCTTTAAAGCTTTGTAACTTACAGATACTTTTACAAAGCTACAGGCTTATACAGCAGAACTTGAACATTTTCCTTCATTCATTTTCTTCTGTGTTCTTTCCCTTTACTACTCAAACATCAACAAGACTAAATTTACTGAAGCTGGCTAAGATATACTGTGTTTCTTCTCTTGACTCTACTGTTGATGCAAACAAAATCACTTACTATAGAAAACAAGATATTTTCAGGGACAATAAACAAGATGCATTATTTAGTTTGATACCACAGCCCTCCCCCCTCCCAAAATAAAACAGACATCACAATGATGGGAGGGAACAGTACCATAAAGTGACAATTTTAGCTTGGCAACATGCACGTGTGAAAGACTGCATATGTAACACATTGTCACACATACAGAGGCTACACCTAAATATAAACAGGGGCTGAGATTCTCAATGCCTCTTGGGTATACATGTACTTCCCATTAGAAAGGAGAAGAATTGGACATTCAGATCACTCCAAAGGACTTGAAAGCCTCCTCTGCGAACAGTTTGTGACACCAGCATTTACTATTGCTTCTAATTTCATTCTTAAAGTTTCTTCAATACCTCTGCATGCAGCTATATTTAGGGGAGAGTAAAATTCTATGTTAAGGCTGCAACACATGGACACTGCATGGGCAAGGAGATAAATCCGCACCTGCATATATCTCATACAATGCTAACAAGATTCCTCGCCTTTCTACCACCCTCTCTAAACTTTGGATCAAGTTTCCTGCTGAGTTGCTATCCCTTCAAAGAAAGGAGAACATAATTACAGCTCTCAAATGGCCTGAGGCATTCAATTTCTTTTCTTTATTTTTTTTTTTTTAAGGTCTGCATTCAACTTATGAAACTCATGAAAATGACAAACAGCAACTTAATGAGGCATTTGAGTTATGGGAAATCCTGGGAAAAAAACTGCAGAACAGAGCCTGCAGGCAACTGCACAAATGCTAGTGAGAACCATGATTCTGTGAGATTTTCAGTATAATACCAAATTACTGCAGCAAATATGTTCAAGAAACGGTACAGGTCTTTTTTAAGACCTGCTTCTGATCTTAAACTACGTCTATAGTATACAGACATGCAGGTGGATGCCTGCTAATTACCCCAGTGTTAACTCTTTAGATACCAGTTGGGTTTAGGTTTTTGCAGGGTGACGTTTTTCGCCTTCTTAGCAAACAATCCCACTTCAACAATTTTTCTGGATGATGTTAAAAATGTATTTTGCCAACATAAAAAAAATCCTGCAAATAAGAACAGGCTTTGAAAATTGAAGAAAGTTTCTCTGGAGTCTAGGATGTGGCTCTGGGGAAAGAGTGCCCTAGCATGGGCGATTCCCCATCCCTTTGTGGAGGATTTGTCGCCTTGGCCCCAGGAGCTGGAGTTGGTGCCTGGATGGGCTGGCCACAGCTGCTTGGGCTCTGACATACTGTGGGACCATCTCTGCCATCTCCTTCCTTCCAATCACAACTTGTAAAAATGTGGGAAATTATGTCAAAAATTAGCATTAGGATTAAAAGATTGATCAGTCAGACAGATAATGGTCAGAAATGCGCAGGGGTTACCCTCGTTCATGTAAACTGATTTGGGGCACCGCAGAACATCTTGTCTTCAAATGCAGCATGAGATACATGATGCCAGACCATATCTGTTTAAAGGCTGGTCATCTTTGATGCAATGGTGTTAGGCCTGTTTGGACCCCAGAGACCCACAACCACTTTGGGAACAGTAGCTAAAGTTAACAGTATGTGATTCTAGGGGCTCTCTGCTAACCACGACCTATGCTTCACTGGCTGCCAGGGCTCTATGTGTGCCAGCACTGCAAGAAGCTCATGTGAGAGATGCAGTATCCTACTCCTTTTCTGAACGTGTTCAAGGCCAGGCTGAATGGGGCTTTGAGCAACCTGGACTAGTAGAAGGTGTCTCTGCCCATGGCAAGAGGGTTGGAACTAGATCATCTTTAAGGTCCCTTCCAACCCAAACCATTCTGTGATTCTGAGAATATATGGGAAAGGACTGGGGAGACTTGTCTATAGAACACAGACGTCATAAGCTTTGGTGAACATCTGGTTCCTATTTGGTGTTGATTCATAACTAGGGGTACACCAGATGGAAGAGCTTTCTATTCCTCTAGCACAGTATATATATGAAATTAAAACTAATGGCATAACTTGGGGGATGAAATAGTAGGTCAAAAGCCACATTCTGCTTTGAAATGCAACCATGTAATTTTGCTGAGGTCAAAGAACACTGGAAAAAAGATGGTTATTTACTTTTAATAAGAAGAGATGTGTGGAATGCATGACAAAACACCGCTTTGCTAACCCTAAAGGACCAGGAAACTTCTCAAGATCAGACATGTAGAAGCTCTAGTTACTGACTGGAGAAAGCATGTGAAACAGTTAAGGCAAGATAAGAGCTGGCATTACTGTACTTTGCTCCTGTTTATGATCCTGATCTGGATAAGTGATTGAACACTTCCATAAAGTTCAGTACACAAATAGTCCTAATGACCGAAAGGGAACTAGCTCTGTGTTTAATTAAATATACACTTAGGTTCTCCACAGAATCAGTGTTTAAAAGGATTAAGGAATGCTAATCCATAGAAAAGCTTCCTTCTAGGTTACATACTTGAAGAATGTGATTGAATAAATTGATGTGAAAGGCTAATTTCTATACTGTTCTACACTACTTTTCAATAGTGCAAAAGTACCAAAAGATAAAGCAAAACCAACTGAACCCTAACATGAGCAAGGCCTATTGGCTTTAGAAGCAGCACTCACATCACAGGATGGTAGTACCGTGTGAAATGACTGATGTTTCTGGTTTCACTTTCATCTCCAGTTAATTCTCACATTTGCACAAAGCCTTCTTTTTTGTAACATCTTACACACTAGAGAAGAATACATATACAGCAAATCCTTAATTATATACTACTTCAAATCTTAAATTATATACTATTCCTCTTGGCATACAAATTATTTCATAGAGGTTGATTACCCAAGTGGAAGGAAAGGCCTGTCCTCTTGCTCACACAAGCTAATCTGATTAAACAAATCTATCTGAACAAGTGACAGGTACTACTGTCTGCAGACTCTGCAAAGCCAAAGTCCATATGTGGAAAAGGCTACAATACTTTTTCACCAACAATTACAAAGTTCAAAACCCTGTGATTAGTGAAAGGCAGATGAAGAAGATCTGGCCTCTATTGGAAACATCATAAGGAGAGAGGAAGCAA